TCTCACGTTCTGGAGTACTTACGTCGACTCTATTCATGCCTTGGTACAATGTCGTTTTTCATGCACTTTATCGGGATGCGGGTCCCCTTCGATTGGCAACGAAAAAATTATTCCAGCCCTCGGTCTGACAAGCCTATCTGGCTGCACTGCGTACCCAACTTTCGCTCTCTCGTCCTAATCACACTGAGCTTCAATAGAATAGGATATCGGCCACCCTGCACGACGCAGAAGCATCTGTTTGTGTTACTATCAATCGTCACCATACCAGTCACTGGATATCCGAGAGGTCGGTGAAACTGTTGGAGTCCAGACGTAACCTCCCAGCTGGTTCTGAGTACAATGTGACCAGACGTACTAGTAGGCGCGATATAAAGCGGAGCCTGCGCGCTGACAAGTTAATCTGGAGGACCAGTCGGGCTCAAGAAATGGAGGAGGCAGAGGTAGTAGGTAATTACTGCAAGCTCTTTCAGCTGATCCGCACCACTGGTCCCAGAACGCCAGGCGTTAGGGAGACAACCAGAGACAGCGCGAGGGCACTGATTCACACTGAAGTGCGCCGTATATCTTGTTGCGCGGAACACTTTCAAGATCAGTTCAGTTGGCCTCCAGCTCCCGGATCTCTTCCTACTCAGGTGATGCAGAACGAGTCATGCACAGTTAGTTTAGAGCCTCCGTCGGAGGCCGAGGTCCGAAACGCGATCGCAGCCCTCAATCGTTTTCGTGCCGCTGGTCCAAATTTCCTCTGCATCAGTCACCATGGGCGCATAACCACTAAAGCCAGTTTAATTATGGCCAAAGCTAGAACTGCCTTCTTGAATCTGTGGCGCCAGGATGGTGTTTCTCTCGCTATGGTAGGTCGAGTTTAGTAGGCTACAGGTCGAACCGTTCTACTCTGCGGCCATGAGGTTTAACCTTTGATCTGAGAATCTGAGACGTCTTCAAGTCTTTGCTCATCACTGCCTGCGAAGCATTACTGGTGTCGGGTGGCACCAGCGTGTTCGCAATGGTGATGTGCTCAGCCGAGTACTAAGCAGTGCTAATCAAGCTTGTTCCTTAGAACGGCAAATAACATTGAAGAAATTGGGTTGTCTTGGGCACACATTACGTACGCCATGTCACCGTTTTCCGAAGTAGGCCATGTTTTTTTGTCGGATTTGTGATGGCTCAACTCTCGAGATGGACAAAAGTTAACTTGGCAACGTGAAATGAATTCGCTGACAACAAAACTTAGTGCAGTTGGTCTGTGTTGCCTTGCAGACTAGGGTCCACGTGACTCGCCTGCTTGACTCGGAACGTTTCAGAACATGGCTTGCAACTAACATCAGTGGCGCGTTTGCTGCCGCCTCCTACTCGGACTGCCTGTTCAGTGTGTTTGATGCTGAATTAGTGCGAGGTAATGGCCGATAATGACACAAGGCAAAGGAAAGCGCAAAGAAACTCTCGCGATGCCGCATTATCTTTGTACTATAGCCAGCTGAATGTGTCTTTATCTTGCCGGCAACTTGCAAGCGGCTTGAACTTGAATATTTGCTTTGGGCACTAGGGTTTTATGCTATGTCCCCCTTCTGTCTCTGTTTTATTCTTCATTCCGTATATCATTGTGTTTGTTTGGCAGCGAGACATCAGTCCACGTGGCTGCTATTTCTCTGTCCTTTCTGCTACTGTTGATGATGATGATGTTCCGGAACTCGGTCCATCAAATCTACCTACCGAAGATGTCACGTTCCGTTTTACAATCGCTGGCTTCGCAGTTCAGCTCATGTCTAGTAGAAACAGCATAAGCACTGAGCGTGTTCGGCTCAGCGTATTTGGTGCAGGAAGATCGGGTGAACCGCTCAGCACTGTTATATCACACATCAGACTGCGATAGCTAGGCCACGTGTTGCACACGTCATCACACCGACTCGCGACGTGCGTTATTCGCGCGCCGAGCTCTAGATGGAAGAATAAGGGGAAGGCCAAGCTATGACTTGGTCAAGAGAATTGAAGACCCTTTCTTCGAAGTTGGCGTTAGTTTGTTTCTCCCGACTACCGTGCGGGGATCCGAAGATTGATGAACACATTTGGTTTGATACACCAGTTGGCATGGCGAAGAGCTGATCTGAGTGTTGTTTATTTTGAAAGTTTCTTTGTCCTTCCGCGTCCCGCTTGTCTTTCCCCTCCAACCACCATCTCACTGTAGGATTATATATTTTGCTAACCATTATATTACCTCTTCTTGTTTATATACAGTGTTTTGTATCTTGTTTTCTAAATATTTTTTGGTATTGCAGCACAGTAGCTAAGGTGTTTCTCATTCTTAGTTGCTTTTTGCTGCATGTATTGTTCCGAACACGTTTTCCGAAATATACAAGTGAAAAAGCCTCAAAAGAACGTTAAATTTTATAACTTTTGGGCATCTACTCAGTTTGCTAGCTAGTAGGCTTAGCATAGGCACGCCGAGAGGCATTGCGGTGAAATCGGGCAACAAAGCTGGTTTTGTTCAGTTCCGTCTCTTTTTCAAACGGCCGCGTTGACACAAACAGTATAGCAAATGTTAAAATGTGTTATTGACACTACCACTCATGTATGTGAAATGCAAGTGACCATACCTATTGTTGTATCCTCTAAATTGGTTTTTTGCTTCATAATTTTACTTGTTCCATGTCTCAGCTTCCTGCTTTATGCTCTATTTTATATTGGGTTTACTTTCGCCGTACTTGAACTTAAGCACTGCGTACCTTAACTATATTCGCTGCAGTTTTCTTCTACAGTATACATCAGACTACAAAACTGCATGCTTCCGTGTGTCCAAGCTTCATATGTGCCAGTAACTACTGCCTTCTTTGTTCGATTGCCATGTACAGCTTTGAGGCAAATTCATTGCTCACAATCTTTTATCTTTTCCACTGTATTACCTTTATTTCAAGGAGTTTTCACTCTTTTGGTGAAACGGTTCTCGTGAACATTTAGGGTTGTGAGCTAAATTGTTCATCGTTTTTTCATTGTTTAGAGAGTCTAGTCCTTTGCTTCAATGGACTTCAATGTATGTGTTTGAACTGCGAGTCTTCCTTTCTCCTAACCTTTACATCAATTGGCCTTCCCTTTTTTTCCATTCATACGCCAGTCGCACAGGCAGCGCATGCAGCGAGGCCGGTATGCTGGAATGAGTAAAAAGGGGGATGAGCTGATACGCACTCTGTTGGGATGCTCTTTAAAACCACCTATCTACCTTCATCATCATCATCATCATCATCATACACGTTAGCTAGAGGTGGGGGAACACCACAGCTACTGTGCCGCAATACAAAGAAAAAAGGAGAGAAAAAAATCAACTGGTGAAAGCTGGCTGAGCTGCCGGTAACGGATGGGCATCGTTCCGGTAAGCTACCAACCTATCTACCCTGCTTGAAGTAGGATTGGAAGAGCTCAACATCTTTCCACTTCTCATTTAGTCTTATGTTTCTTCACTTGATAACTGTCTTCTCGCACGTGACGCAGACTGCTTTACGTTTCGGCGTGTCATTCACACTTTCAAAGTGCAAGGTAGTGTTTCAGGCCTGCGCCGACACTGCTGTTTCTAGCTATGTTCGATCACCTACAGGAAGTAGTCGACTGGTTCATCTACCTTAGTAGTTTCACCACTTCTGGCATTCACATCGTTGGACAGCTTACAGCACCCATCCTTAATCCCCCGTAGCTTCTTATAACTTCAGCTATTTATGGAGAGGATGGGATAAAAGCCTACGAATCAAATCTATGACGTGCAATAATGACCGATTCATGCCCATCCGTTGCTGGTAGCTCAGCTGGCATGCAACTGTTGTATTTGTTTTCCTTTGTGTATTTCGGCACAGTAGCTGAGGTGTTTCCCACCTCTAGCTGATGTGTATAATGATGATGAATGATGGTGATTCATGCGTAATATTGCTCATGTCTGGTGAGAACACTGGATGGCAACAATACCGCTCACCAGTTGATCTTCTTGAAGAATGCATCTACTACCTCATTAAGGTGTCTCATATAATCAAGCTGCTTATGTTGGACTAGTCATATCTTCTATGTTCTCGTTGACTGTCTACCTTGTTGACACTTCAATAAAATAGGCTAAACCTCGTTATGGCCCGTCACTGGCCGGGCAGAAATGCATGACGAAATTGACTGAGAGAATTAGTCAGTCTTGTACAATGTCATATTTGGAGATGGCGCCTCGTCAGGGACCACACATGTGTATGGGAGCCTTATCCTGTATTTTCTTTGTCATGCACTTACTTTCTACTTCACTTTCTTCATCATCGTCAACTGCTGTCGTGACGGCAAATTCTGCTAGCTCAGTCCACAGCACTTCGGTGCTTGAGTCACCATTATCCAACTGAATTGATCCACCTCTGAACTCGGGCCGTCATCTGACTTGAAACGCGGCGTACAATAGTTCGATCCCAAACACAACTGTATAACCCAACAGATGTCTCTTTAAGCCTGATTACTCATGGCTTCTATAGTCTAGGACAATTTGTGCATTCTCTTCGATCATTTCGATTGGATCATATGTCACTACGGTCGGGTTGTGATACACTAGTGCCTACAGTTCCCCTCCCTCGTACTATGCCTCATTCTAGACGAGCTTGTGTTCTTTAAAATATATTCTTCTATGATTGGATCTTGATGATATGGCTTCAAGAACTCCTAGCCGGAGTGTGATTAAGACGATTCTTAAGTTCCTGCTTTTGCACAGTCGTCTGCTGTCTTCAGACTCACACTTTATGTCTAGACTTCCCAGACCAAAAAATACTGGTAAGATAACTGGATTTATGACAAGGCTGTATGAGTCTTTGCTTAGCCGAACCTAGAAATTACTACTGCGCATTTTACGCAGGATCCGCTAGGCTATCACTAAATACCACTTTCTATTCATGCAAAAATTATGGCTCACGATCTGATCGCCTTCTTATCGAGGGTTTTTGGGTCAGATAAAGTCTGACCCGGTTTGTTTACCCATTCACTATCGCTTTCGTTTCCAGCACTGGTTGCTTGTTCTCGTCTGTGGATGGGTTGCTTACTTAACTAGACGGTTTCTAGTAAGTCGGAAGATTGTGCATGATCTTTCAGCTGGACACTATCTCACGAATATCAGCATACACGCCTTTGCACGTCAAATGTCGCAACTCCGCCTATCCTCGTACAAACGGACTGCAGCGCGTCTTAGTTCCAGATGAGTTGGTCGATTGGCGCGTCCCATGGGAAGAGTATTTGCCTATCGCCTACACAAATCAGAAAATTCTGGGAATGGTTTGGGCTGATCCGGATATACAGTAAGTCGCAAGCCTTCAGATGAGCGTTTTGTTCATTCATTTTTCAGGCATTCCCTCTCCGGTTCCTCTTTTCTGAAATTATAAGAGTCGATGTGACCATTTTATGTAACTAGTCCTATGCTGCCGTTCCTGTTGATTGTTGTAAATCCCAACATGCAGTCACCCATCACTCTCCTGATAGCATGAATCACTGCTCATCAGTATTTGGATGGCATGCGGGCAACTTGTTCGGTTACTGGGTGGCGTCCGAGTTAATTTTTACTGTCTATTAGCTTATAACTGTCTGTTCCGCAGTACCATTCAACGACACATTGTGCGTGAAGTTGCTCCGTACTTTGCACAAAGAAGCATCCCGTTAATGACACTGCCATTAAATCTACTCAAAATTGTTTACCTCTGATGTACAACAGTTATCATCAGTATGGTATAATTTTCCAAATTTCCGCTGTATCGGCACAAATCTCTTTCTGTCACTTCTATGTATTTAGCTTATGGCTTTAATTTTGTTTCTCAGCTCTATTTTATCTCGTATACCGGGACATCAGCGCCCTAAAATACGCTAGTATTGCTATCAAAATAAATCGAGGTGGAGTGTTTTCGACGCCATGAATTAATCACGAATGTTGGGAACCGTATGCTGGATCGCCGCGGTAGTCTACTTGAGGTTAACTTGGTCTTGGCTGAACGCCACGGGACACCGTTCTTGTACTTGCAATATTGAGCATCCCCCTCATACTATTTCCAACTTCCGAGGACTAGCCTACGGTATTGTGTGACTTCCTCACTCGATTTACCTGCTTCATTTAGCTCTTCATCGCTTTTGAGGACAGTGTGCCCTTCGAAGACCATTTCGCGATAGCTTTTCATCTGGCAGAGGAGCGACTATTTTCCTTAACTATGCTTCAACAAAGACCTCTGTATCAGCAGCATTCACCTCGTGCTATATTTCACTCACTGAATAACAGACCCGTACAGCATCATCACTATCATCGGCAGCTAGTGTATCTGAGTGCAGTTTTCGTTTAATCTGTGGCTGCTTTCTATAACTAACGATTTTCGCATGTACACACACATGACGTACACTCTTTCAGCTTCAGCGAACGTCATCAGTTAGAGTTATTTCACCAGTCTCCCACAACACCAGCCTAATTCGTAGCGTTAGGTATCACTTTTGAGTGTAGTAGATAAAATGTCTGTGGATTGACGCCGTGATCTGCTAGAAGTCGTTCAACAATTCAAGTACCTGGGCAGCTATATTAGCACCCGTGGGATTGAAGATGAGGTTACAAACCGTATAGCAAAAGCTCGAGGTGCTTTTGCCAATCTCCGCCACCTGTGGCGCAGACGCGACATTACTCTCGCCCTGAAGGGCAGAGTTTACAACGCAGCTGTCCGTTCAGCTCTCCTATACGGCTGTGAAACCTGGCCCATCAGGTCGACAGACATGAAGAGGCTTGTCACATTCGATCATCGCTGCCTTCGCAGCTTAGCTCATGTCTGGTGGGAACACCTCGTGAGCAATGAGCGTGTTCGACGTCGCGTATTTGGTGCAGGAAGAGCGAGTGGACCGCTCAGCACCATTATATCACGCACAAGGCTCCGATGGCTGGGCCACGTGTTGCGCATGCCAGCACACCGACTCCCGCGACGTGCATTGTTTGCGCGTTGTGGGTGCGGTTGGAAGAGGAGGAGGGGAGACCAAGTGATGACTTGGTCGAGAGAAATGGAAACCCTCACTTCGAAGTTGGCGTCGGTTGGTGCATCCCGACTGCCTGGCTGGGGTCCTAAGGACGGTGAACACGTTTGGTTGGACACACTTGCTGATATGGCTCGGAGCCGGCCCCAATGGCGTTTGTGTTGTGAGTTCCTTTGTCCATCCCCCTCCTGTTTAGCATCCCCCTACAATCACGATCTCACTTGTTAGGCATGATACGAGTCTCTTTTACGGCAGCCAGCTGTTAGCTCTCCGGAACGATGTCCATCCGTTACTGGGGACTCAGCGGGCGTGCCGGTTTGTTTTTTCTTTTCTTGTCTTTTGTATTGCTGCACAATAGTTGAGTTGTTTTCCACCTCCAGCTAACGTGTAATGATGATGATGATGGATTGACACCGTTTCTGGTGCACTCAGTGAAAACACTTAGAGCTTTTTGTTCACTCAGCTTTGGATGTCTACTTGATGATTTTCTGCACCACTGATTCGGCGTCGTGTTGTCAGTTTGAAAATGGACCCATTGCTTTCGGTGAATAAAGAGGTATCGTGAAGTGTGGAAGGCCGGTACTCTCTGGAAATCTCTATGTTTGTTTTCACTCACTAGTCTTACGGATACAAGCACGGCTCTTGTAAATGATAATATAGATGTGGGTCTCCTGATTCAGCCGTCGAATCCCCCACATCCTGAGGTTACCGAAATGCATCGTTACTTATCGGGGTTGACCGCAGCTCTGCGTACAACACCTGACTTTGAGTGTACCATGATGTCGCGAAGCGCGTTGATTGGTCATTGGTTGGCTACCAATCGATCCCTCTTTTTCTCTTTCTTCGCCATCGTTAGTTGCGTGTATGTGATTGCTAGGCGTGCGGGAGCTGACTGGTTAGCCCCATAGTTTTTGTGATTGGATTACCCGATCGGAGTTAACGGATAGTCCCCAGGGAAAAATTACAATACCAATTAGAAACGAACCTAACAGATTCCCTTATTAAACGCGACAGACAAAGTCGTCCGTCTACGCGGCTCCACTGATACTTGGAGATTCGACAGTGTTCTTGTGAATCAACGTTTCTTAAGAAGGAAGAATCTCGCTGGACAAAATGTCGCTTTTGCTGGATAGAGTTCACAGAGCAAGACGTTACAACAGTGCCGCCCGTTCAACCCTCCTATACAGATGCGAAACCTGGGCCATAAGATCGGCAGCCATAAAGAGGTTATTTACGTTCAGTAATCACTACCTTCGTAGCTTAAATCATGTTCGGTGGGAACGCCACGTAAACAATGGACGTGTTCGACCTCGCGTATTTGGTGCAGGAAGAGCGAGTGTATCGCTCGGCACCGTTACATCGCGCACCAGGCTCCGATGGCTGGACCAGGTGTTGCGCATGCCATCACACCGACTCCCGCGTCGTGCGTTATTTGTGCGTCGGGGTTGTGAATATAGAAAGAGGGGAGGAGGCCAGTAGACATGAAGACTCTCACTTCGAAGTTGGCATCGATTGGTGTCTCCTGACTGTCGAGCTGAAGTCTGAATAATGATGAACACGTTTTGTTGCACTAACCGTTTGACATGGAGTCGAGCTGGCCCCATTGGCGTTTGTGTTGTGAGTTTCTTTGTCCCTCTCCCTCCCGCTTATCTTCCTCCTCCAACCAGGTTCTCACGTGATACGTAATTTGACACTAAGCGTCATATTACGTATTCGGTAATATTTTGTATCTCTTTTTTCATGTATTTTCTCTTTTTTATAACGCTGCACACTAGCTGCAGTGTCTTGTTACCTTCAGATATTGTGTATTGATGATATTGATGATGACGGATCAAACTTTCCGCTATTTTTATCTATAGCCTTCACCGAATAAATCGTTTGACCCTAAACTATCGAGTTTTATGACCGTTTTCGCTACCGTTGAGTTTTCACTGACCACGGTTCTAATGTCGCCATGTGCTCCAACCGCCATATGCACATTTCTGTCTTGCCTTTGTGGTCTCATCATTATACAGGTTAGCTAGAGGTGGGAAACACCCCAGCTAATGTGCCGCAATACCTAAAAGAAAAAAGGGAATAAAATGCAACAGGTGCAAGCCAGCTGAGCTACCTGTAACGGATGGCCATCGTTCCGGTAAGCTACCAGCCGGCTACTATGCAGCCGAAAAAATAATTTACTATGCAAAAGTATAAAAGGCTAACTAGTGAGATCGTGGTTAGATTGGGAGGCTAAGACGGATAGGTTCATCATCATCATCATTATACACGTTAGCTAAAGGTGGGGAACACCTCAGCTACTGTGCCGCAATACATAGAAAAAAGAAAATAAATGCAACTGGTGCAAGCCGGCTGAGCTACCGGTAACAGATAGGCATCGTTCCGACAAGCTACGAGCCGGCTACTGTGCATCAAAAAAATTACTATACAAAATTATATATGGCTAAATAGTGATATCGTGGTTAGAGGGAGAGGCTAAGAGGAATGGGGTGGGACAAAGAAACTTACAGCACGAACGCCACTGTGCTCGGCTCCTAGCCATATCAGAAAGTGTATTCAGCCAAACTTGTTCATCGTCTTTCGGGCCCCATGCAGAGAGCCGAGACTCTCCAACCGAGACCAGCTCCGAAGTGAGGGCTTTCATATCTCTGGACAAGTTTTCGCTTGGCCACCCCTCTTCTTCATCCACACCCCCGGCTCGCAAACAACGCACGTCGCGGGAGTCGGTGGGCTGGTATGCGTAAGACGTGGCCGAGCCATCGGAGCCTGGTGCGTGAAATAACGGTGCTGAGCGGTTCAGTTCCTTTTCCCGTGCCATAAACAAGGCGTCGGACACGCTCGTTGCTCACGCGGTTTTCCCACTAGATGTGAGCTAAATGATGAAGGCACCGGTGGTCGAACGTAACTAGTCTTTTCAGATACGCTGCTTTATGGGGCTAGGTTTCACAACCGTACAGTAGGGTCGATCGTACCGCTGCATTGTGCACTCGACCCTTCAGGGCAAGCGTGATGTCGCGCCGGCGCCATAGTTGGCGAAGGTTAGCAAAAGCACTTCGAACTTTTGTTATACGTTTCATGATCTCCTTCAATCCCATGGGCGCTGATACAACTTCCCAGGTAGTTGAATTTTTGAACGACTTCTAGCTGATCCCCAACAGGAGGCAGCGCAAGAGACGATCCCTGTCAATCTTGGCGGAGCTCTTTGCACTTCGAGGGTGCGTAGCAAAGTCCGAAGTGACGGACAGCCAGTGCAAATCTGTCCAGTGCCGCTTGGCACGTTTGTGAGTTGTCACAGACTAGGGCAATA